GGTGGGAAAGGGGGGTCGTTAAAAAGGGGCCAAGAAGCCCTCGGTGTTTTCAAACGCAACATCTTAATGCCCTTTTCAAATAAATGTCGATGTTGCCACCTGAGGGGCTCTGCGGTCTTGGCGTGTTGAGGGCACCCAGGCACCCTCTCTCTGCCCTGGGAGGGGAAAAATGGGGGGGTTTCTGGAGATGGGAAGGTTTGTGGAGAGGAGGAGGATGGTCCCAGCGATAAACAAGCTTCCTTCCCCCAGCTCTGTGCCCAGGATCCAACACAAACCAGGCTTCATCTTCATCACCCTGTAAAATTGAGTATTTCCTCTATTTTTCCCCTCCTGTCCTGCAGGAGTTCCCTGGGCTTCTGCTCATGGTGTGAAGGAACAACCCTAACCCACCTGCCAAGGCCAAAAATGGGAAAGAAAACACCTGGAGAGCTATTTGAGGAGCCAAAATGTAGACGGTGCACACCAAGCCATGGATGCTCCAACCACGCATGTGCTCCACCAACATCCCTTTATCTCCTCGTGATGTTGAGGACTGATGTAGGACATCTAAGGAGGGGGGGAAAGCACTAATGTGTGCCTTGGTTTACTTAAAAAATACTTCCACCATGTTATACCAAATAAATGGGAATCCACAACCCCTACAGTCCCCAAAAGCCCCTCCAGATGGCAGTGGGTCCATCCTACTGGGGCATCTGCAGCTCTTCTGCATGTGCTTTCCATCCTCAGGTGGAGGAACCAGCAGGTGAGGTCAGCGTTGAGATATTGATGCTGGTGTTAGTTTGGCAGAGGCAATCAAGGTTTCCTTCTCCACTAAACTGGTTTTAGAATCATAGAATTGTCCAGGTTGGAAGGGACCTCTCAGATCATGGAGTCCAACCATCAACCTAACACTGACAAACCCACCACTGACCCATGTCCCTCAGCACCACGTCTGCCTGGCTTTTCAATCTCCAGGGATGGGGACTCCACTCCCACTCCCTGGGCAGCTTCTTCCAAGGCTTCACAACCCTTTCCATGAAGAAATTCTTCCCAATATCCACCCTTCTTGGCCACCTGGGCTCATACTCACCTGCTGTCCTTTTCCATGGGGCAGCTCCAGCCACTCTTCCCCCCGCAGCCTGGAGCGTCCATGGGGTTGGTGTGACCCAAGTGCAGGACCCAGCACGTGGCCTTGTGGCCCATAAATCCATGAAATCATGGCATTTCAAACCTGGCCTCCTCTGCAGTGCCCCAACCCAAGGCACCCACACCCCAACTCCGGGACCATAACATGCTCTTCTGGGATGCGCAGGAGCTGGATCCTGCCAAAATGCAGCCCCAAGTGCCCTCCCTGGGCTGGATGCCATGAGCCCAGCCATTCCAGAGCCCAACAACCAGCTTCTGGGGGCAAAAATTGTTCTTTCTCCCCCCTCAACGTGCTCCCCAGCACTTTCCCAGCCATGGGTTTGGTTTGGAAGGGACCTAAAGACCATCTTGCTCCAACCCCCCAAACACCAGGCACCCCCAGAGACATTGCCCACACCTGGTTAGCTTGCAAATTTACCAAAAAAAAAAAAGTATTATTATTTTACGATTTTTTTTTTTTTAGAATTCTTTTAATCTGTCATTTACAGTATTGTACAGCTCAGTGAAAATATATGAAAATCCTCCATCGTGCTCCGAACCGGGCACCGTCCCGGCTCCCCGTCGGAGCGGGGGGGATGTCTCTACCCCTACCCTGTTCCCCGGGGGAGCGGACCCCTCCGGAGCACTAATTAAGAAGGACGTTAACGAGTGATCTCTAAGTGAAACACATGCCAGCGGGACGCTAAAGCTAGAGGGGGCGTCTGGTGGGGGGAAAGGTGGGGGTTGCCCTTGGGGGCTCTCCCCCCATCACTGCCCCTTCTTGTAGGCGCTTTTGATGATGGCGTTTTTGAAGAGAGTCACTAGAGGGGTCTGGCTGTGCTCCGAGGTCATGAAGCCCCCGTAGCGCTTGTCCTTCAAGGGCCCGTGCCAACGGAAGTGGCGCATGCGGTAGGAGCCACCGGCCCTCTTCTCCTCCTCCTGGCCTTCCTCCTCTTCCTCCTCCTCCTCCTCGGTGCCGCCGAGCCCCAGCTCCCTCCTGAACTCCAGCGGGTAGTTCTCGGCCGACTCTTCCTCCACCCCGTTGGGGTAGACCTTGATGGGTCTCCTCTTGCGGCCCACCGGCTTTCCCCAGCGGAAGTGCTCCATGGAGTAGGAGCGTTTGCCTTCCTCCCGCTCCAGCCCGGTTCCTTCCTCTTCCTCCCGGTGGGGCAGGGGGTCGGCGGGCAGCGATGCCTGCGGGGGGTTGCCCCCCAACTCTTCTTCCCGTTTGTGCCCCCCACCACCACCGCCCCCACCGCCGCTGCTGCTGTTCCTCCGGCCAAACTTGTTCCAGCGGAAGTGGCTCATGACGTACTTGCGGATGCTCTCAGAGAGGGGCTGGAGGTGCCCGTTCCCCGGGTAGACGGGGGCCTCGGCCGAGAGGTCGGCTCTGCACGCCGTGGTGCACGCCTGCGTGGAGTCACGGGGTGGTTTGGGTGGGAAGGGACCTTCAAAGATCATCCACTCCCAAACCTCTGGGACACCTCCCACCACACCAGGTTGCTCCAAGCCCCCTCCAACCTGCCCTTCAACCCCTCCAGGGATGGGGCAGCCACAGCTTCTCGGGGCAACCTGGGCCAGGCTCTCACCACCAAACAAATTCTTCCCCACAGCTCAGCTCCATCTCCCCTCTTGCAGGGTCCAACCCTTCCCCCTCCTCCTAGGGCTCCCCTCCCTCATCCAGAGTCCCTCCCCAGCTTTCCTGGAGCCCCCCTTCTTGAGGGACTGGCAGGGGCTCCAAGGTCTCCCCGGAGCCTTCTCTTCTCCAGGCTGACCCCCCCAACTCTCTCAGCCCCCCCTCCCAGCAGAGGGGCTCCAGCCCTCCCAGCATCTCCGGGGCCTCCTCTGGCCCCATCCAAGAGCTCCATGTCCTTCTGACGTTGGGGGCTCCAAAGCTGGAGGGGGATGAGCGTGGAGGGGTGATACGTGGGAAGGGTGAGGATGTGGCCAGGGGTCCCCTGGTGGGGGGCTGATTGCATGGAGTGGGAGGTTTCACAAGCTGGTTTCATGCTTGTGCCCCACATCCCCATCACCTCCAGCCCACCCCATCGGTCCCCATGGTGGGGATGTGGGATCAGCAACCAAAGCAGTCCCCATCCCCAAGCTTACCAAAATGCCAGCCTCGCTGGCCAGGTCCTGGCACTTGCTGCTCTCCCAGCAGGGGCCACTGGCACCAGCAGGATGCCAGAGGAGCAGCCCCAGCACCACGGGCAGGATGCTCCACAGCATGGTCCCCATCCTGGCCGGGCTCACAGGAGGGATGCGAGGGGCTGCTGGGCCAAAAACCCTGCAGGAACTATGGGGAAAAAAGAAAAAAAAAAGAAAAAAAGAAAATCATCCTGGCCGGGCTCACAGGAGGGATGCAAGGGGCTGCCGGCCCAGAAACCCTGCAGGAACTATGAGGAAAAAAGAAAAAAAAAAGAAAAAAAGAAAAAGAAAAGTCTGTTTTTTCCTTTGGAAGATTCTTTAACACTTTCTTTGGTTCATCCACCTTGCCCTTCCCCTTTTTCTTGGGGTTGCAGGAGTGAGGTCCCCTCTTTTGGCACCGACCTGCCCCTTCCCCTGCCTGTCCCCATCCCCTGGGAGATGCATTTCTGCTGCAAACAGCTTCTTCTGCCAAGTTTTCCAGGTTTTCCTCCCCCCTTCAAGCTCGTTGCAGAGAGATGCTCCCCGCCACAGCCCAGGATCAATGGGGTGGGTTTGCTGGAGGAGAAACTGAGGCAGAGAAATGGGAAAGCAACAGCTTGAAGCTGCCTCCCTGCCTGCACCTGTGTCGCTCCAAAAAATCCCCCTGTCTCTTCCTTTTGCCTTCCCCACCCAAAAACATCCTTCTGGAGCCCGGGTCTTTTGTCACCACCACCGTAGGTGACAACCGCTGTCAGCGGGGATTGCTGCCGCCTCCTAAGGACCCCATAAAGATGAGTGATGCTGGGAGGGGACAGCATCCTCAGGTTCCATCCATTGCCAACCACCCGCCGCTTGAGAGCTCATTCCTCTAAAAAACCCCCACATCCTCCCCCCTAACCCGTCCTGCGATGCCCCTCCAGCCCAGCAAAACTCCTGCGTGGTGGGAGACACAGCTGTGAATAACGTTACATTAGGAAAAGAAGAGTAAAACAGGAATATTTTCCATTAAATGCTATTGAAGGTGGTTGCTTGGCTTTTTGGGAAGGGCTATGGTAGAGCTGGTGGGCTTTGGGTGACCCTGTGCCGCGGGGGCCATCAAAATTAACCCAGGATCCTGCCAAAATCCGGGGGCTGAAGCTGCTGTGACATGAAGGATGGGGTTGGGGTCAGTTCCTGGGCACCCAAGGGACCTGGCTCCAGCATCCCTGAGGATGCCCAGGTTGCTTTTCCTCTGCAAATCCCAACTCTTTCCCAAACTGATGGATTTAACCCAGCGGGGACTCGCGGGTCTCACCTTCCCCCCACCCCGCGAGAGCTCTACGGGAGGAAAAACCCATCCCATATTGAAAGAAAACACAAAAACCCCCTCGTTTTGGTCCAAAATGTGTGGCTGGAGGGCAGAGCTGACCCTCCCCTCATCCCCCCTCCAGGTCGAGCCCTGATGGGGGGGGGACTTTCTTTGGCAGAGGGAAAGAAGAAAAGACTCCGGATTTATGAATACAGTTTGGAAAAGGGGATAAAACAATGAAATTTAGACTTAAAGGCTGTCTTTATGTCTTTTGATGGGTGTTGCTGCCCGGGAACCCCCGGCGCAGCATCCCCGAAGGGCCGGGGCGGCAGCAGGCGCCCCCCCTGTGCCACATTAACACCTAATTAACGCAAATAAACCCGACAATTAAAAGAGGCGAGGAGGCAATTAAAGCGGGGATAGGGAGGGAAGGGTGTGTTTTATCTCTCATCCCTCTCTAGGACACCCCTGCCCGGTGGCCACCCCCCCCGACCCCCACCATCCCTCAAACCCCTATTTTTTGGCCAATTTTCTTCCCTTCCTACCCCGCACCCCAAAACGCATCGAGAGACCCACAGGACCGGGTGGTTGGGGTGGGTTTTTTTTTGGGGGGGGGCTTACCTGTGGCCGGGGTGGGAGCCCGACGGCCACCGAGGACCCT